AATAACACCAACATTTCTATAATAAGTTTAGTAGTACAGGACCATTTTGTTTTAGAATGACACAAAAAACTTCACTCCAACTCCAACTCAAGGTATTGGGAAAACAATCTGATGGATGTAGAGTCACAGACATTAACAGACATGTCATACCTGTAGAAAGTAGTTCCAGTGAAAACTGTTGCTATACTGAATATTATTTTAAATGTTTACCACTTTAACCAGCACAAATAAAATTACATCACTTTCAGTGTATTGGGGTAGAAGGCAAAAACCTCAGGGGCAATTTTCTTTTGTAATTTAACTGAACGACCAACTCTTTTAATGTTTAAATGATTTCCTTAAAAAGCAGAGATCATATGATTTCCTTAAAAATGGTCCTGTTCTGTTCTGGAATGGCAATTAAACACCTCCACAGTGCACCCAATCAACGTATGGTAAACATAAATAAATGAAACAAAACCTGACAGTTGATATAGAGTCACCCGATTAACAACAGCCGTGTCACACCTCACACAGTTGGAATAGCAGGAGCAGGCTGGTGACACAGCTTAGAGGCACCTTTTTACAGTAATACTGAGCTACAGTGAGCCCAACGATTTCAGAAAACAATTAATGTAAGACACAACTCACAGGCAGCTGTGCAGAGTGTCTCGCCTTTTGTGTACGAGTATTTATGTGTGTGTGGCTGTGTGTGTGTGTGTAACCTGACAGCCTGCTACACAATAGGGGTCCAAGTGAGTGTGAACTCTATTCGTTCCCACAGCTGCCATTAACAGACGGAATGAACAGCCTCTTGCTAATAAAGTGAATAAATAAATAACGCTTAAGAGGCCATGTTTACCTCCTCAGTCTCTGTCGATAAGTGCTACTTAACAAAAAGCAGGAAGAGCTTTTGGTTTCTGATTCTCCATATACATGTGGATTAACTCTCTCACTTACCTTGCGGTCACTCTGACAATCGAGATGCATCAATCAACTGCTTCACTACTAAACAGAATTAGTGTATTCTTAGTGTTTTTAAATGTGCTAACCTCAGGTGAACCCGGCTCAGTGTTAGAGGGCAAAGCTGGAGATATTCTGTTTTCTTCTTTTCTAGGGTCTCTCAATACTGTCTGGCTTCCTGTCTGTAGCTCTCGGCCTCGAATCTATTCACTCCCACTGAAGATGTAATTCATAAAAAAAAGGGGTCATGAAATGTAGTTTTAATTTTTTTAAAAGGCTAAATTATTATTATTATTATTATTTCTTTTATTTGAACAGGGACAGTGCACTTAC